CTAATAGTAACATAAAAAAAAAAAAAAAAAAAACAAAAAATAATTACCATTAAATAACCAAGAGAGAGAGAGAGAGAGAGAGAGTCGAGTTCCGTCGTTAATTATTACTTCTTCTAAAACCATCTTCGTTAATAAGTTGTTCAGTTTTTTGCTCAACTTTGCGCGTTACCGCGCGAAACACCTGCCTGTTTTCTTTTCCAGAGGGATCGGCGGTGCCATGTTGCTTCTAATGCTGTGTGCTGCCATCTACGAGTACAGAACGATGCCAAGCGACAAGGACGCGGAGTCGTTAAGCGTGTCGAACAACAACGAGAGGCTGAGCAATTTCTCGAATAAGAATTTGAATCAGGATCATCACGGGGTTGGTCCCCAAGAAAATGGGGAGGAGTTGATCGAGAAAGGGAAAAGCTTGCAAAAAGATATGCCGTCCGACCATTCGAAAAAGAAGAGGAAGGGTAATAATAATAATAATAATACGAGGAGGATATTATCTATCTATTCTATATAATATTCTCTCCTTCTTTTCACGCGAGATATTTTCTTACGTGCGTTTCAGGCTTCTGGGTAACGTGTCTCGCCGCGTTTAATCCTGTCAGGAACGGGAGCAAGATTATTAGCACCGAGCCGGCCGCGAGGGATAGCCTGACTTGTTTGCACGGTTTACGAGTGTTTTCATTGGGATGGGTGGTCATGGTGCATACCTATCTTCAAGTTTTTTCCATCGCTGGTAAAGTTGTTGCCCTTTCGAGAGGCAACGTCACGATGATTGTATGAAATCCTGTTTACGTTAAGCCGATTATTTTAGAACTCGAGTCTGTCCGCCATTCGGTTACAAGTAAATTGATGACGTTTAAGTAAACGTGCATTTCCATATGCAAATAATTATACATGTTGCACAGAATATTAATATGTTGGTAAGATAGGATAGGTCCACAGTCTAAGACGAATATAAAGAAGAAGAAAGTCTGCTTTATTCTGAATATCGCTTTTATATTTTCCTATTGGACGAATCGCGACAATTTTCTTATCATTTAGAAAATTCAGAGAAATCAATTTTTTATTATTCGTTTGTTGTTTAACGTAATTTACAGAGAACAAAACGCTGCGCACAGTGACAGAGAGAAATTTTATGTTCCAAACAATTAGCAATGCAACCTTCTCCGTAGATACATTCTTCTTCATTAGGTAAGACAATGATAAGAATCCTCGTTTCGCAATTAAGGAAATGAAAATTAGAATGGAAAGGAATTTTTCGCGACTTTTAACGCGAACAAAAATTACCCCCATCCATGAATATTTTATTGGAAAATTTTCTTAAATTTCGTAATAAAAATAATTTTTAATGAAAAAACACTACTCCATTTAAACAAATTCCTTTCACTCGTTTCTTAAAACGAACATAAATATTTCAGCGGATTGCTGGTCACGATTCTCTTCTATCGATCCTCGGGAAGCTTGAAAACCAGCGAGGACAAATTTTGGAGGACCTGCTTCACCAAATTTGTCATCATGATCCTCTACAGATTTATCAGGTAAAAAAAAAAAAAAATCGAACAACCTCTGTCTCTGATTTGAAAATCTTGAAAAGAAAATTGGAAAAACTTCGAACAAAGAAAAAGAGAAAAACGATTCTCCAAGGTACATACACTGACCCCGTTTCGATTCACTTTTCATCAAGATTGACACCGGCCTACCTCTTTGTCCTCGGGATAAACGAGATTGTGATGAAGCACAGAGTGCCAAGGTCAGTATTCACGCCGGCGGCCATCGACCACTTCACGTGCGAGAAATTCTGGTGGAGGAACGCCTTGTATCTGAACTCGCTTTACCCTCGAAGCGAAATGGTAAGGATTTGTGCAAAAACTTTGAAAATTTACGAAACTCTATTTAAAAGTGTGCGAGCAGAGTGTCTGCATTAACTTTTATGAAATTTAGCATTTTAAATTGGGTCGTGAAGAGTAATTGATCCCTTCGTTGATTGTATATTTGAAAATGTTAACACAAAATTTCTTGCATTTAATGCTAATTTTATGCTGGCTATTGATTTATGAGCTTTTTTTTTTTTTGGTTTTGAATAATTTTAAGTTTATACTGTCTTGCTTATAATATTTATAAAAACGTCATCCAATTCTATTATCACATTTTCTCTTAACCAATATAATATAATTCCATTTGTCACACGATAGTTCTCCACTATCATATTCACTCGCTTTCAACTTATCTCCCTGCCCTGTATTTTATTAATCCTGATAATGACACGTTGATATATATATATATACTATAATAACCAAGGCACTCACTTTCGTAAAAGTTTAACAATCCTTTACAATTCTATCTAAAAAGATCTAAGAGATAGATATTTCAAAATATTGCGATAACGAAATTTTCCAACAATATTTTACACGATGTAAAAATGACTGTTGCTCGATATTTGAACGATTAAATATTAAAAATATTAAACGATTCAGAAGAATTGTGTGTAAAATATCCAATTACAAAAGGATCCAAGTTACTTTGCTTAAATTGATCTAATTAATTAACGAAAGAAAAAGAGTAGCAATCTCTCGTTCGTTCATTTATCATCATTTAAGAAAAAAAAAAAAAAGAAGCGAGTCTGTTAATCGATATTCGCGTAAAAGTAGTCGAGTCGAGGAATAATGAAACAGTGAAAGGATACAGCATCCGTATCTTTCTTTTATCAAGAGCTACTAGATTCGATGGAGATTATCAGACAGGGAAAGTGTCAGCATCTCGATCGTTTTCCGATAATTAATTCTAACCGTCCCAAGAAAGTTTCAAAGGTGGTGGAACGATGTAGACTGTCTAACCGCCCTAAAACCAATTTCGTCGCCGTAGAAAAAAGAAGCCGGTTAATTATTGCTCTACATTTTCATTATCTTCTTTCCAATATTAGATTTATGATTACCGATCATGCGTATCATTTAAAATAATCCTGGCCATACCCTTAAAGATATAATAATAAACGAAACGATGAAATCATTTTATCAAATTAACACGTGTTTCCATGTATGTTTTTCTATATTTTGAAAAACATTTCAAACTCGATTTACTCGTGCGATTCTTTGTGAAACGAATCTTCGTTCAATTATCTTATTGTCTTTCATTTGGCAATAAATTTCGCAAGCAACTGTACACAACAACCTTATCAACAAGGTTCCGCTTGATTAAACCCATCCCATCTTAGATTGACGTTTGATCCAAGTATTTTCCAATATTCGTCCTTTAGACGCGATTTACCCTACGAATTAACACTCGATTAACAACTTTCCAGTGTATGCTGTGGAGCTGGTACATGGCCAACGATACGCAGTTCTATGTTCTTGGGATACTTCTGTTGCTCCTCTCTGTCAGATACTTGAAGACCGTGATCGTGGTAGTTTTACTGCTCATCGTGTCTTCGTGGTTCACCACCTTCTCCATGGCTTATTCCAACGATTACATCGCCAGGTAAATTAAACAATATATAGGAAAAGTTGATTCGTTGATTGGTAATCTCTTTTTGTTGTGTAGAGATATATTGTTTCGAATTTCGATTACGAATTCGAGTTTTGTAAGGGACGAAGATGATCTTTTTCGAATAAAAATTATTGAAATATTAATTAGTAGCACTGATCGATGTATATTCGTATAAAGTGTCTCTTATTTAAAATATTATTTTTTGATTTTGGTAAATCGTAATTATAGTACAAAAGTTCATAACTTGGTCGATTTATCAATCCAACAATTTCGTATTAGCATGCGTTACATTATAGAAAAGGCGATATTCAACTTTCGAACCATTATGATTATACCATCAGATTGCTCGTTTAACAAACTTTCGTAATATTTTATCACGATTTAACGAGCAAGATAAACGATCGATTTAATATCGACCATGACTTGAAAATTTCTGAATGATTTATACCTGTTTCTTTTTATCAAATTGTTAAAAAGACGGAAGAAATTTTAATATAGAACAAATTTCGATATTAAAAACTTGATTTATTAAAATACTTTCGATACTCCTTACTTTTTATTTATTATTAACTTACAACTTACAAAATCCAATTGCCCCATACTTTTCTCTCTCTCTCTCTCTCTCTCCCTTCTTTTAATCGATCCTCCCACAACCGTAAGGCAAATATCAGTAATCCTCCCCGTTCTTACTTTCGTTCTCTCATCCGTTTTCTCCCCCTATTTAGAATTCAAGAACCGTTCGCCCTTTTCGACGAGCTGTACGATAAACCATGGCTAAGAGCTGGCCCATACTTCGTAGGGATCATCACCGGTTATATTCTGTTCAAGACGAATTGCAAATTGAAATTGCCCCTGGTAAGTGGTTGCGCCGAGAAAAATCCAACTCTCTGAGATTGTACAATCGTTCGTAATCTCTGTTCGATCCAATCCCTTCGTTTTTTTAATCTTTCTAACGCGCCGATTAAAAATTTAAAAACGGTCGCCTTCCCGCCAATTTTTCTATTCTCTCGAAACACGAAAGAACACGAACTAATATTGTTTTATACAAAAAAGCTAATGAAAGTATATTCGGTGGTATTTGTGTATAGAAAACCGAAGATCGAGTTTATAAAATTCAAAAGCGGTCGTTTTCCCGCCAATTTTTCTATTCTCTCGAAACACGAAAAGAGAACACAAACTAATATTGTTTCACGCAAAAAAAGACTAATCGATTGTTCGTCGAAAAGAAGCAGGTAACTAACTCGCTCACAAACGAATCGAGGATCGGGTTTATAAAGGAAAAAGAAAAAAAAAAAAAAAAACTAGTTTTTCCAGATGGCGCGGTTGGTCGGCTGGGTATTGTCCACGGCCATAATGTTCTCGGTGGTTTACGGCCTGTATCCCGGAAATTTAACCGTGCCATTGAGTTCCGTGTACGCCGCCTTAGGGCACACCGCATGGGCGATCGGTGTATCCTTCATCGTGATTCAATGCTGCACCGGCTCCGCCACAATGATCGACAGCCTGTTGTCGCTCAGACTGATATATCCGCTATCGAGGCTGACTTACTGCGCCTACCTGGTGCATCCTATCATCATGTTGATCACAGCCAGCCAGATGGATGGCCCGTTGCATTTGCACAATGACATCGTGGTAAGAAGAACAAGATCGGGGACGACGATCTTTAAGATCGAATTGAATTTCTCTGATAAATAGTTGTATTATGAATACAGGCCAGATCGATACACGATACATTATACGTTTGTATATATATATATATATATATGTGTTTTTCAAGCTGATTCTATACTTTGGCAACCTGGTCGCCTCTTACTTGATGTCGTTCTGCATCTCAATCGCGTTCGAGGCGCCAATAGTGAATCTGCTCAAAATCGCTTTCACCTCGAAGAAGAGGATAAGGTAGAGAGGCGCAAGATAAGTGGAGGGGGGTGCATCGTGCGATCGACAGTGAGTAATGGACACTTCTATAGCTATATTTATGATAAGAGGGATTAAGTTAAGATCGGCATCGACTTTCCTTTTGCAGAAAGTAATCGTCACTCCATCTCCAAATGGAAAATATTATTCTTCAGCCTCGCGATGGGATGTGACGACACGCCAGCTGAGAATGCTGTTTCGTGGACAATGTGCAAGTCGACACTTAATCCCAACTACATTGTCTCTGAATCAATGCTGATTCTCCAATCTTTAATCGAGTTTCCACTTCGAGAAGAAATATAAAATGCTCGCTCGCCGTTATCAAATGTAGTCCGACTCGACTAAAAAGAGAACACAAAAAATATTGTTTCACGCAAAAAAAGACTAATCGATTGTTCGTCGAAAAGAAGCAGGTAACTAACTCGCTCACAAACGAATCGAGGATCGGGTTTATAAAGGAAAAAGAAAAAAAAAAAAAAACTAGTTTTTCCAGATGGCGCGGTTGGTCGGCTGGGTATTGTCCACGGCCATAATGTTCTCGGTGGTTTACGGCCTGTATCCCGGAAATTTAACCGTGCCATTGAGTTCCGTGTACGCCGCCTTAGGGCACACCGCATGGGCGATCGGTGTATCCTTCATCGTGATTCAATGCTGCACCGGCTCCGCCACAATGATCGACAGCCTGTTGTCGCTCAGACTGATATATCCGCTATCGAGGCTGACTTACTGCGCCTACCTGGTGCATCCTATCATCATGTTGATCACAGCCAGCCAGATGGATGGCCCGTTGCATTTGCACAATGACATCGTGGTAAGAAGAACAAGATCGGGGACGACGATCTTTAAGATCGAATTGAATTTCTCTGATAAATAGTTGTATTATGAATACAGGCCAGATCGATACACGATACATTATACGTTTGTATATATATATATATATATATGTGTTTTTCAAGCTGATTCTATACTTTGGCAACCTGGTCGCCTCTTACTTGATGTCGTTCTGCATCTCAATCGCGTTCGAGGCGCCAATAGTGAATCTGCTCAAAATCGCTTTCACCTCGAAGAAGAGGATAAGGTAGAGAGGCGCAAGATAAGTGGAGGGGGGTGCATCGTGCGATCGACAGTGAGTAATGGACACTTCTATAGCTATATTTATGATAAGAGGGATTAAGTTAAGATCGGCATCGACTTCCTTTTGCAGAAAGTAATCGTCACTCCATCTCCAAATGGAAAATATTATTCTTCAGCCTCGCGATGGGATGTGACGACACGCCAGCTGAGAATGCTGTTTCGTGGACAATGTGCAAGTCGACACTTAATCCCAACTACATTGTCTCTGAATCAATGCTGATTCTCCAATCTTTAATCGAGTTTCCACTTCGAGAAGAAATATAAAATGCTCGCTCGCCGTTATCAAATGTAGTCCGACTCGACTAATTTATCCATTCTTTAACAAGAGTTTTTTTTTTTTTTCATATTTTTTGAAAAGTTTGTTTCGTTTCGATCCATCAAAATTTCGATCCGAGGAAACTTGGAAAGGTATCTTCTTCTCTACGTATCATTTCAAAGAAACGAATGGAATATTTAGAATTCTCATACTTTTGACAGATGAGAATATGTTTAATACAATTAGGCTTGGGTTTGGTTAAATTTTGACAGCGCCCGAGGCTTTCGTTTCGATCATCCTATGTGGAGCCCAAACATCCAAGATGTAGATTCAGATCAACTTTACATTTAGATTAGATTTGCTTTTAGAGATAAACTTGTCCAATCTGCTATCTATCTTCTTATTTTGCAAATATTTTATCAAATGATGTATAAATATCAATTTTATACAGACATGTTTATATGTATATAATTAAATATTATTATACTACAATTAAAGATCTCATTAAAAAGAAATTTTGACCGATTCTAACAAATCTAATATTGATCTTGGATATTTCATCGAGAAATGATACATTTTCAACTTTCCTCGATCAATTTTTCGTTCAAGTTTTGATAAAATAAAAACTGAAAAAAAAAAAAAAGAAAGAAAGAAAGAAATTAACCATTGCAGTTTGTTCCACAACATGAACGAAACGAAATGCAACGTTGTTGAAGAGCGATTACGTCTTTTTTTGTATTATAACACATAATGGTTCAAAGGCAAAATACTACTTTATGGGGAAAAAAGGCAAGTGTTTAACGACGCGCTTCCTTGTTTCGTTTTCCACGTTCCGCGTCGCCAAGTTTTCTCGTAAAACATTTTCTCTGGAACAATAGGTCTCGGTCGTTATTTTATAGCGTTCAAAACGGCATTTATATATCGTTCATCGTCGAACAGATGCGCCACGCGGATGTTTACAATAGAAACAATAGAAGAAAACTCGGGCGGAACTTCGACAAACAGCGAATCGAGGGAAGAAAGAAGAAGGGTGGGATCTGTGCCAAGTCGCCGCGTTCACTCGGCCAATTTAAATGGAGGAAGATGAAATTGAAAACAGGGGGGGATCGCGGTTCAAGATGAAATTTTCGATAACTAATATTAATATTCGCGAGTATCAAATTCGTGGAAAATATTATTTGTACGGAAAATTGAGAGAGGAAAAGAAAAGTGTTCGTTGAAAAGTGTGTGGAAATAAATGGAAACAAGTTTTACCATTTTTGTAGAGAGAAGAATATATAATTGGATGAAAGAGAAGATAAGCTGATATTTGCTAGACATATATCGATCGTATATGATGTTGTATGGTGAGCAAGTAAGTTCTGTCTTTCTTTTCGTGATTTCGAAAAAAAAAAAAAAAAATGTGATGATAAAATAAAGAAGAATTTGTGAATATAATTTTCTACGAGTAATTGTTAAAATTGTTAAAATTCTTATCTATTCTATCAAAAAAAGTTGTTACGAGTGAAATTCTTCTTGCTCATTCTGTTTTGGATTATTATCTTTTGATGAAACGTGGACTATCGTTTATAAAAACCAGTATTTATATTTTTTTCTCCTCTGTGAGATACTTGTTTTTGCTTGTTATTGCGACAGAACTTTTTCGTTTACCTAATAGTTGATTAATTAGAATAATGTAATTATAGAAAAGCTATCAATTATGAGACAGAGAGTAATTTATAATTACTAATTTTTACAGTTAACTTCTGTGAAATTTATTATTTCCTTTTTTTCTTTTTCGAAACAAGTAAAGGACAACAATTTTTGTGTACCGAAACATTTTGAACAAAAGGAAAATACCCATATCGACGATTGTTTGCGAATGGAAAAATATTATAAAAAAATATTTTTACAAGGTATTTCAAAGTTCTTGTTTGCAAACCACGAAGTTTAATTGATATATCAGGTGAGGGAGTGGTAGAAGAGAAATCGTTTCACGATTATTCGCGTGGCCATTTTCATTTAGCGTTTTGTGCCATTATAAATGAAATGCGTTACAAAAAACGTGTATAATTTGCTGATATTTAAACGTTTCGACCTTTCAATAAAAATGATTTTCATCTTCTTGTACACGTGATAAAAGAATAAAGATAACAAATGAAATTTGCAATATAAATTACTATACATCTTACTTTCTTCCTCCATTGAAATACGATTTCTAAAATTTCCTAGAATTTCTAATAATCGAGTTTCAAATAATTCTAACAACATTCTATCTTTCATACTTTTCGAGGAAAACTCTCCAATGTACTTTTCACAAGTGGCTCTCTCACTTTGGCTCTCTTTCACTTTCAACGTATCCATTATCGAAAAAAAAAAAAATAATAAATAAATAAAAGCAAACAACTCTCTCAATATAGAAATTTCTCAAACGTATTTACTTTGCTTGAATGAAACTTGATGATGATAAATCTTTCTTCTGCAATTTTCAATATTAAAAATACACGCAATAATCGCAAGTCGTATCGATGATTTAAACTTACCTTAAATTAAAAAAAAAAAAAATTCATGGATATAAAATTCACATAACTAAAGATATCAAAAATATTAACATAGGACTTAAAATAAATAAATTTGAATAATTAAAAAAATATCATTCTTTTGATATAATAATTTTGATGCATCTCTAAAAGATTGAAATAAACCTGTTGAAATAAAATCTTATTTGGACTTTTTCGATCTTGAATATAACCTAATAAAATTTTACGTTCCAATAACGTTAAAAAGGCTACACTAACTAACACTATAACTGTTATAATTAACAAATCAATAAAAATTCAAATTATTGTTTATTAAAGTAATATTGATATAATTAAATTCTATTATTTTTTATTATACATAGAAACCAACCTGACTTACGTCGATTTCAACTCGAATCGTGTAAATTAAAAGATACAACCTATAAAAAGTATCGTGCAACCGAAACGGATACGAGGAGAAAAAGTAGGTATAGAAGCAGCGTGTTGCAAAGTAATAATTCTGTCGTGAAATATCTCCGTACGATCTTTGCGTGGAGGTTCGTCGCACGGAAGCTCACGATTAGTAATACAATTAACGTCCCGTCAATTACCCGCCCGTATAATATCCTGTTCACACGATTATCGCAACGAGACTCGGTTGTCCCGCACTTGCATAATTTGTCGCATGCGCCACGCCACCAAACCGGCCTCCTCCCCCACTCCTCTCAGATTGCGAATCTCACATCTCCTCCCCTGCGAATATTGTTGAACCCACAAGTTCGTCTAGACGAAGATATCGAAGAACGTTTTCCTTTTAAAGAGATAGTGATAGAAAGAGAGAGAGAGAGAGAGAGAGCAATTTGTGAGCAATTCGTTTCCTTTTTTTCAAGAGAAATCTAATAATTTGGCAAAAATTCAACTTTGCCTCGATATCAGGATTTCGTGATTATGCAACTCTGTGTTAATAGAACGGAATGCAAATCGAGCAGGGCATTTGTATTCGAGCGAATAGATACGGTTAATCGGTATACAGTAGGCTCTCGCAGTGCCAATACGCGAGTGAGAGCACTGCCAATCCAATACAGATCACGTGTTTCTCGTCAAAATTGAGCTCGAAAGTATTTTTCCGTTTCTTTGATCCGACCGAGTAACGTGTCCGGCGATTTTAGATGATCGGATTAACAACTCGTCCCAGTTCGCCGAATCATTAATTTTTCAAACGTTCGTGAATACGTTTATTAGGGTAACTTTCAACTATCAGGTGTTCGAATCAATTTTACCGGGTTTATAGTTATTCGAACTTTGAACGAAAAGCTAGATTATTCACACTTTAAGAATATGTTACACATTTCTTGTTAATGAAAAAAATTTGCAAAGTATCGTATCATTATTTACAAACTCGTTGATTAAAATATTTATTCGCTACCCTGTATAATTTTTGCAAATAATTATCTCGCTTAATGTTCAAATTTCTTCTAATTACCCGAATCGGAAGAAATAAACTTCAAAAATTAATTTTACCGGCAGATCAAGACATTCGTTACCGACCGAGTCGATCCGATTCAATTTTCAAGAATCGAAACTTCGTAATAACTGTCGAATCATTCAGTTTCCGCGAAGGCATTCGTCAAAAGCGAATATCAAAAGACGAGAGTTCAACGTTGCAGGGTTAGATACCATCGTTCCAAGTGATTTCGCGGTTGCACAGGTGCATGGCAACGTCTGCTTTCGCTATGGGCGCGGTCGCTTTCATATTGTCACGCGAGAGCATCATTCGATTAAGTCCGCTATGCGAGCGAAAGACGATTACGTGATCCCGAAGAGGTGGGCTCGCATCGTTAACGGGATCGATATAACCAGCCTAATCATCAATCGTTGCTCTGTTCCTGGCTATTTAACATGCACGCGTCTATTGTTTGTAGTTAATTAGCTTTTCGATAGAGAATGCGATTCTCCGGGATCAAATATACAGAGTAAGAGTAAATTACGATTAATGTTAACGATTAAAGATATTGAATTGTGATATTGATTAATAGTAAATTGCAAAAGAGATTATGAATATTGAATTGCAATAATGAATCTATAATGCTGGGTTAAAAACAGGTAATTTAATTTGCGATACAAATTGTAAATGTATATTTCATGAATGTGCAAGATAAATCTTTGTATTAAAAATTAGAGTGATATTCGATCATCCGTCTGCCTA